TGTAATAGACTTTAATTAAATTCCAATAAAATTTTAAGAAACTCTTAAATTGACCTCAAGGGCTTCCCTTAAATCCATTAAAGTTACAAACAGCCAATAAAATATACGTAGACTAAGTAAAGACCCTGACACCGGCTGAATGACATCATGGATTCCACAACCTCGACCAACCGCCTACGCCTCACCAACGTAACTTTACATTCCATCAAAACCATACAGCTCCTTATTTCAAAAGTCATAAAGAACGAATTTAAGTGGCAACGAGAAACTGTAGATGATAATGATAACTTTGGTTTTCTTGTTTATGTAACTTAAGTATTACATTGATCTTGTGTGTCAGTGTAGTGAATTACGAATTTTGTTTGTTTTAGTGATTTTAACGTTACTGTAGTCGGTTTAGAGGACATTATCGTCTAAAAATAATCAAATTCTTTTTAATATTTTATTTATTTAGAACTCTTTGGTTTTTCTCTAAATTATTATTAGTTTACCTATTTTGAGTGTCTGGTTGCAACATTTTTGCATTTGAAATTCAAATATTTGATATTATACTACTTATTAAAGTGGGTACTCTCTGATTAAAGTTCTAATTCATAAAACAATATTTATACGTTCGATTAGCATGAGCGAAAGTAGTATGAGCATACATAGCTATGCTTTCATGGACTGATTCTTGTGGGCCACACCAATGAACACGATGATTGTACTTTCTTGATTTAACTCATTTTTACTTTGCTTCTTGTTTTACATTGCTAGGCTTATCAATAACTTTATTTTTAATTTCATGATCATATTTAAGTGTATGTCTCTAGTTAGTTTCTTGAACATATTCAAGAAAGGGCAAAATTTTAAGATCATTTATAAAGTAATCACAATCTTTATCAGTATCGGTAACATTTAGACCTTGCAACTTACTTATTGCTTTAATTAATTGTATACCTACCACAGGCAAAATGCTCATCGAAAGCAAAGGTATCTTGAAGAAAGTAGTGTAGCATTACGAAGAGATATATTAAAATATAATTAACTAGTAAGCCATGAATCAAACGCTGTAATAACAAGTAAGTAATTCATAAGAAGCCATGACTCATTAAATACCACAAACACATTGGTTCAATCTCCAAATCATCTCGCAAAAAATCCCTACAAAATTAATTCTACGTACAAATTCTTTAGGTTCAAAATTACTGTAATTATAAACTTTAAATGTCGGTTCTGTACGAAATATGGAACGTGTCACGCAAGGTCAGGCTTGAGAACGATCTTGTTTTGTATCTTAAGCGGAGAGGGGGTATAAACATTCAATTTCGCGTACCTAATCAGGATTTTGGAAAACATGAATCCAGATGAAAATTTTTTATAAGCAATAAACAAAACAACCACAAAAGAACCGGCAACGCGCCTGTGGTTCCTCTGGTGTTGCAGGGGTCCATGGGCGGCGCTGATCACTTACCATCAGATGATCCGTCTGCTCGTTTGCCTCCTAACACATGAAAAAAGTATTCGCTTACATTCGATCATATTAGTCAAAAGACATTAGCAGTGTACAAAGGACAGTTTATTTTTCAGAATTTTCCAGTAATTAATATGACGTGACTGGTTCTTTGTAAAGAAAATTAATATTTTATACAAGAAAGTTCGTATAACATCTACAACATGTTTAGTTGTAACTGTAGCATTTGGCAATCACTGCTTGCTTTCTTTTAATTCACAAGTGACAGCAAACTCGTAAAGAAATCCAAGTTTACTATTCACACGCCAACTGCACCAATACTTTTTATACGGAAGGAATAAATTTCCATCTTGTTCACACATTATCGTTTATGCACTTAACATGCTTGTAAGGTCAATTTTTGTCTCTTTATTTTTGCTTACTAGTATATTAATGTGCTATCTACCTTCATTTGAGAATAAACCTCTACTCAGCTATATTCCATCTCGTTCTGTTTTAGCTCGATGAAAAATTAGAAAGAATTAACCCATTGACTTGTTTTATCTATTTCGATCCCTAAACCTTTGATATCAATAAATCCTAGAATCTTTTAGTGCAATTAATTTCTTATGCCTCCTAAGAAGCCTTTAAGAATTCTGTCAGACCACTCAAGATTAGCTTCAACAATTATTGAGACATCCTTACATACTTCTACTTGGTATAATCCAGCAATTACAAAATTCCTGGCTTCGTGGAAAATTCTTATGAAAGTTGCACAAATACTGACTTTATTTGTGTTCTAACGCTAATTAAATCCTAAAAAGGTATTAAAGAAAATGTTAATTCCCTTTTTCGTTATCTCGTGGCATCTCGAATGCCTTTGCTAAATCTACAAAACTAATGTATTGCAAATCCACATAGTCACACGTTCGTTGAGTAATCCTATTTTCTTAAAACTGTTTGATAGTATGCTGGCCTGGTAGAAGCATTTTTATGGCGTCATATCAATTTTAGATTTTTAGACGGTTTTAGTGCATCCGTCTAGCTAGGGGCCTTATGTTAATTTAATAAAAGTTCTCATATTATCAAAGTGTCTTCGAAATCAACACATGGTGTCATCTATCCTCTTTTCTTTTTACGCTATTTTCGTGTCGTCCAGAAACATATCATATTCGCCTTGAACTTTTTCGGTCCTTTAAAAATGTTAGTTGCTGATACCGTTGTGACAATTCATGTAAATGCGCGTACGCCATTTTCATTATCTACACGTATAATGGTATGCCGTTGCGAATTTCATCACGTTCGCCAAAATAATTTCTTTTTGTATGACTGAGGCTAAAGCTGTTTTTATTCCCATGTTTTCTAAAACGCGGTTCATAGATTTATTAACGGAGTTTCAATCAAAAGTCTTAGTGGTCTGAACAATAAATATTGCTTTTCCGTAGTAATGCCAAATGAATATACACACTACACACTACGAAAACTATCGAAAGCAAATCCTCCGTCACCGGTGACCTACGTAGCTTTTAACGTGTAATAAAGCCTTTGTAGTAATTTGCTTGGCCCAACGGATTGATTTTGTGGAATACAATCATTGTTTGGAGATGTTTAGGAAGTTGCAAAAATACTTAAGGCTACTTTTTTATTTATTTAGTACCCTTTTTTGATTCTTTGTTTTATCCAAAATATTATATAATCATTATATTGTCCTTATAACTGACCCTTCATCGATTACTTATTAATACGTAATTGTTAGAAATAAGGTCGTTTAGCTCCCATTCCGTCACAGTTGTAAACTGTTCAACCAATCGCAACACCAAACAGTTCATTGAACCTATAGTTTTGATATTGCCTACTGGAAATGTCAAATCGATTTTAGAACGTTTACTATTTTAGGCGTTAACGGAATTTACTTCTTTTTTGTGTTGTGTATTCCTATTTTAAAATTTGATTTCAAATATGGAATGTTTTGTGTAATGTCTTTTTCGATAAACATTTGATGATGTTAGTAAGCGTTTGTTTATGAATTAATTTAATATTATTGTTTTTTTTTTATTCTTGAAATTACTAAAGACTTTTTGTATAGTCAGCCCTCCAAAGAGGTATTTCTCACCTGAATATTGCTTTTAAAAGTCGATAGCTGATACCAATAATGTTACAGTTATTCTTGAAGTTAACATTATGAAAGTTTGATATCACACCCGCGACTAATAAACGCACAGACAACTCATATATCTGGAGCTAGACGCATTTCCTCATAGCTCCAGTCTATTCTGGTGTCTGGATGTCAGCCAGCCGACAGACCGACAGGACTCGCTTTCACTGAAACTTTATATTAAGTAATCATCTTGGTTGTTAATCTGTTATTATTGTTTTTGTTAGAGCAATGAACTGCATATTTATCTTACTTCTTACTAATATTATAAATGCGAAAGTTACGATGTTTTGGATGTTTGTTAGTCAATCAGGCCAAAACGGCTGGACGGATCTGGATGAAATTTAGCACAGGCATAGAATACATTCCGGAACAGGACATAGGTTACTTTTTATCAACATACTAAGCGGGCGAAGCCGCGGTCGGAAGCTAGTTCTTTATATGTATAATCTATCTATTAGCGACCCGACCGGCTTGGGTGCAATTCTAATACTAAATTTTTCACCTATTTAATGGATGATGTATAAACCTTCATCTTAAATCACTCTATTTAAAAAACAGCATAAAAATTCGTACTGTAGTTTCGTAGATTTAAGCAAACATAGGGACATAGGGACAGAGCATGCGACTTTGTTTTATACTACATAATAATATGTAGTGATGGCAATTAATGTTTAAAAAAAAACTAAAGTGTTATAGATTTTCGGTCATTTTTAGTAGGTATTGAATAAGTCTGCTATGTTGTTTTAATGTATTAAAAATTGTACTTTTCTGTACGAGTAACTTAATAAAGTTTTGTTCCTCCAACGAAAGTTTAATTATTACATCATGGAGCCTAAGATTTTAATCTTCTTTCAATCACAATCTTACACATTAATTTTAAACTCTATCACTTTCTCTATAAGATCGAAATCACAACAATATTAACAAGCCTTCCTTAGTAATGGCTTAATTGGATTTATTCTCACGTGTTGTAAAATTTTTGCGATATCATCGACATAGATAGTGTTCTGTTTTATAGTCTTTGATATTTTATTTAGTACTTTTTAGTTTCAAAGAATAATGCACTCCATTGTTCATGAATTAAGGTATCTTTTGGCGTGTGGTTTAAGGAAACGTATCAGAAATATGTTTTCAAATAATAATGCACTTTAGACACCGGTGTTAAGGTTTATCTTTGTCCATCTAGCTTCGATAAAATTAAATTGTGTTTTGTTTTTAACTGACATCATTGAAAAAAAGAGGATCTTATTGGAGAATTCTATTAAATTTGAAAAACATGAAAGAAAATTCTGCCAAGATCTTTTTTGCGTGGTTATGACAAGCTTTTCAATATAAATAGAAGTTGTGATAACTTCAAGCACAGATTTTTTCTTTTAACCAAATCTAATCTATAAATTATCTTCTCCACAGATATCCGATATAGTAATCGGTCAGGAAGCGAACGTGACAGCCCGCGAAGCACTGCTGAGCTGGGCCCGGCGCTCCACCGCCAAGTACCCCGGCGTCAGGGTGGCTGACTTCACGTCATCCTGGCGTGATGGACTGGCCTTCAACGCGCTCATACACAGGAACCGTCCTGATCTGATAGACTGGCGTAACATCAGGTAAGATTATTTTTATTTTATTTTTTTGTTTAAAAATAACGTTGCCCCATTGTTGATTTACATCCATAGACAGAATGAAAAACCAGTAAGTCGAATTCTAGTAAAGGTTCATCGAATAAGCGTCTGTGTTTCGATTTAATTGGTATCACAATACATATTAACATAAACATACATATCATATCTTAAAAGAGACATAAATGAAAAAAAAACGTCATAAGTATATGTTTTTTTTTTACTATGTTCATGGTTGCTCTGTAACGATAGTTAAAATGTAGAATAGGAAAAAAAGATAAATGATTTTTTTCTTTAAGTACATTACCATTTTATTAAGATTAATTATTAAATTATTGAAGTTCTTTGCCTCAAAAAATATCATTGCATTTCTCTCAATTTCATTTTCTTCCACAGATCAAGACAAGTCCGTGAGCGTTTGGAGACAGCCTTCCATGTAGTTGAGAAGGAGTACGGAGTGACCAGACTACTGGATCCCGAAGGTAAGTTTTAACAAAACCTACCTTAATAACTACAGAGAAAGCTTAATTTTCATTACAAATTGAACGTTTAAGATTACTTTCTGGAATTAAATTACAATATTTGTCATTCGATGTCCAGATCAGGTGGCAGTGTAATACGAACTGACGTGAGACGTAATTGAATGTTCTTTTGTAAATGTTCACATAGGGTCAATTAGGTAATACAATATCTGCAAGGATTATGTCATTTGCTTGTTAATGTAATGGCTATTATGAACGAGGCTTTAAGATAATTTTTCGTTATTGATTGAATTATTATCGGAAAGACGAAAATACGATTTTGGTACTATGGATTACCAAGAGTTCTTCTCTCAATATACTCAGACTGTGCAATGTATTATCCCAGTTATTTGAACTTATTTGTAAGCTAGCTGTGCTCGCGGCTTCTCTGATTTGACTAGAGTCCCATACAAATTGTGTCAAATTTATTCTATAAAACATGATTTAAAGTGGACGTCGCTCTGCAAAAAAATGTATATTTGTCTTTATACAATAGTTGAAAATTAAAAAAAAATAGTTCGGCACGGATAGGCCGGCTGGACCTACTTGAAGTGATGGCACAGCTTTACAGGAAACCGTGAAACAGCTGTTTGAGTGCCGTCTGAGTGACGTTACTGCAAGCCCAGGCCCTGTCCATCCCCAATTCATTAATCGCCTAATCCTTAAATCCCTTATCTCTATAAGACAGCCACGCACTTGCCACTACTAGAACCCATGGGCACCGATTGATTACGCGGTGTTCGTCTATTCCGTTGTCACCTAACTCCATAAAAAACAATTCATCAAGACTTGGCTGTTTTTCTGTACACAGACAAAACCGTGGCATGCGAAGTTCAGTCACGGGCAATAAACTGTGATCATGTTTGTGGATCGAATCGTTCACGTCAGTGCGGGGCGTTCGACGTGCTAGTGCGAACCTAACACAACATGACTTGCTTTATACTAATGCAGTTTATAGCAATAGTGTTACTTGTTTCAAAAAGAAATTAGCATACAGGGTGTAAAAAGACGCTTAACGCAACCGAAAGCCACTTATTCTACCCATTATTTGGATCATTTTTTTCTTTAAGACCATAGCTGGGACTCCACGGGTTCTCGAGATATTGAAGGTCAAAGATGGGTTTTTATTTTTTATTTTTTTGCGCAATCGAGTTCTAAGTATTATGACAAAACTTTTTTCCAAACAAACATTACCTGAATTTTCGATTTTTGTAAATAAATTACGTATTTGAAATTACGAACTGTATATACTTGATTAATTTTAGTATGTCTCATGATATTTGATATGATTAAGATACTTACAAAAAATCGTAACAAATAAGTAACTTGATCCTAAGCAGACCTTATCGATCTTCTTGTTATTCTACAATGATGGGATTAGCCCTGTTATGTTTCAATTAGTTGCTAGATAACACAGCTGTTTACAAATAAATAATTTTCAGTTTTAAATACGCTTGATAAAATGTTATCGCATTTTCATTGCACTGCAAGTGTGGGAGAGCCATGCTTCGGCACGAATGGGTCGGCTCGACCGGAGAGAAACCACGGCCTCACAGAAAACCGGCGTGAAATAACCACAGCGTTGTGTTTCGCCGTGTGAGTGAGGTTACCGGAGATCCCTCCTCAATCCCTAAATCTCCAAATCCCTAATCCCTAAAAGGTCGACAACGCACTCGTAACTCCTCCGTTGCGAGTGTCCACGGGCGGCGCTGATTGCTTACCATCAGGTAATCCGTCTGCTCGTATGTCGACCTATTACATAAAAAAAAAAACTTACAACACACAAAACGGCAATCATAAAAAGCGTCATTAGTCGGAAGACGTCCACTGCTGAACAAAGCCCTTTAATTTGTCCTTAACCCCTTAAGAAGGGAGTTGTCAGAAGGATGTTGGCTAATCTCCCACTTTCACGCTTGGGAATCGCTTAGTAACTCTTTTGTTATTACGAATGTCCATGGCTGGCGCTGATTGCTTACCATCAGGTCAAGCCTTAAGTCTGCTCGTTTGCTGACCTGTATACAAGTGAATACCATGACTACGATCAATGTAGTCAATATTAAATTATTAGCCGCCACAATTGGCGCGTCGCAGTTCAAATTCAATGAGCATAACTTTACGATCTATTGTCTGCGTTCGACTGAACAAGTGCAGATCACCTGTGACGTTACTTGCTAGATATGGGTATGTTAGTGTGGTTGTCTGACGCATTGAAGTGTAAAGAATAGTGTCAAGTTCAACCTTATATTAAAATTTCAGTAAATTATACTAACTGCCATGGTTTGTTGATGATGATGTTGATGTTTTTTTGATTCTTTGTGCGCTAGAAACATGCTAACATGTTTCTAGCGCACAAGGAACCAAATCTTTTTATCCTACTTATACATATTATAAACGAAAAAGTTTGTTACTCTTTCACGTTAAATCTAGTAAATGAATTACAATGAAAATTGGCACAGATATGGCTTTATAGTATTTCTGACTAAAAAACCTCTCCGGTCCTTCTGCTCCAGGCCAAGGTCACGATGCCTTATTGTGCATGGCCCGCGACCCTGGCAAATGGATTATAGTCTGGAATAACATTCATATAGGGTACTTTTTCCCATCAATGTGGGCGAAGCCACTGCAGAAGCTAGTAGCAACAACTTGAGGTGATTAAAGCTCAAACTTTTACTGTGAGACAAATGTTATGATGTACCAATAACAAATCTAGGGTTAGCAACCCTAGATTTGCACGCGCCTTAAAGAGCCAATAGACCACCACTGACGGGGCCCTATAGGGCTGATGTCCAGCCAGGGTTGCGAGGTAAGCCCAATGAGGCACCGCGACCTCGGCTCAGAGCAGGAGAAGGGACGGTGGTGATTTTAGTCAGTAAGAGTCTGACACTCTCTTTCGCTTTACCATGGGCGGGAGCAGTCAGAGTTAAATATATGTGCAACACATATGTTCAACGAATCACTCAAGTCCTAGGCCGTTCTGCTTGTTATCTCAATTGATAATGTAGAGAAAGAAGCATTTTAATAATAACACCAACAAACAAAAGAATAATTATGTCTCAAAGTCACAAGCGTCGCGACTTGGCGTGAATAATCGTTGCAACCTCGACTCTGCGATTTTATTGTGCGATTGTCGCGATGTTCGACGACTAATTGCTATAATTTTATACGTTTGCAAGTGATTTGTGTGTCTACATTAATTGGGGTTGGGTGCGGTATAACTATTTAGTTTTATAATGTTTTGAAGCTGACTGATGTTAAGTAGGTTATTGTTTGTTTGTTATTTTTGTTGAGATGGTAGACTTTACTAATCGGCCTATATTTCAAACTAGTATTATCATCATAAGCGTTTAAGTGTCCACTGCTGAGTAAAGGCCTATTCTCACCTTCAAGGGTTTTGTACATTAATCACCAAGGATAAATTATTAGGTTTTCTCACGATGTTTTCCTTCACAGGCATTTGCAGATAACTATCTGTCTCTATCTGGACTCGAATGGCAAAAATGTTATTTTAATCTTATATATAAAAATGGATCGCAAAATGTGTTGGTAAGCGCATAACTCAACAACGCCTGGACCAATTTTGCTAATTCTTTTTTTGTTATGTTTTTTATTGTCAGGAGAAGGTTCTTATCAAAGAAAATATAAGAAAAGTAGAGGGGAAAATTGGGAAAAGGTGACCCTTTGATAGCGAGATAGTTGGAGCCGTGCGAAGCAGGGGCGGCCCGCCCCGCTAGTGAAAAATAAATATTGATATTTTCAACACCTTTACTGTTACTAGAATTTAGAACACACCATTTTCTTCCTCAGATGTGGACACCCACGAGCCCGACGAGAAGTCCCTGATCACGTACATCTCGTCTCTTTATGAGACGTTCCCGGAGCCGCCGGCGGTGCACCCGTTGTTTGACGCCGAATCACAGCGTCGCGCCGCCGCCTACACCGAGCAGGCCGCGCAACACCGCGCCTGGTTGCATGAGAAGTGTGCACTTATGCAGGTAGGTTGGGAGAGAGCCCGGAGAAAACCTATTTTTCTGGGAGTTTATGAGCTTATTATGGTACCAAAAATGACCGTAATTAACACTGCTATAAGCTGTTAAATCAATACATAATGTAATTTAATCGCCATTTGAAAACTAGCTGCCGCGCACCGTGTCGCGTGTTTGGTCCCAGCACGGAACAACTCTTTGTGTGATCCACAAATTGTAATTCCGGGTCTGGGTATAGTGTGTATGTGAAATTGTATACTTGTAAACGAACCCACGACATGGGAAAAATGTTAGAGAGGGGCAACTTTTTATATAAAAAAGTGTAACATGCTCCGCTGCCGGGATGCTATGATATGTTTTTAATATCTTCAAATATGAATTATAATACGTTTGCTTCCAGGACCGTGCTTTCCCGTCAACTTTGATAGAAATGAAGAAGCTGCTCAGCGAGAGCACTCGGTTCCGGCAGGAGGAGGTGCCGCTCAGACAGCGCGAGAAACAAAAGCTCTTCCACCACTACAGGGAACTTGAGGTGAGGACCAAAAAACACGTGTCTTCACGTATTAAAAAAAATTAAATATCAAAAAAGGCACGTTGCATCAAAAATCATCATTTTCCTGCCCTTGTCCCGTTTTATTTGGGGTCGGCGCAATATGTTTTTTTTTCCATTCTGTCCTGTCACCCGTCACGCTATCACTAACTCCTTCCTTCCATATCACTTCTCACACAATCCATCCATATTTTCTTTGGTCTCCCTCTCCATCCATCAACATTTACATTTTGCACGTTGCATAAAAAATATTTAAGTACCAAAAAATCTAGTACTGAAACTCAATGCGTGTACATATCTTGTAGACTAAGAGGATTCAATAATTAAACTGCTATCAGATCAGTCTATATAAGTATTTAGGGAACAGAGAGTATAGTCCTCCGACCACGCGAGGTGTTTGTGCCTGGCGGGCTACTGCCCAACGGCTGCAGTTGTCGGAATTTTTTATAGGTTTTTATTATTGCGCAAACTTCACTTGCGCGATGCAGAACGTGTTAACTACGCCATCTGTTGGATATTGTCATCCATCTGTGTTAGTCGCCACAAGTATGTAGATTTTCTGTTTGAATGCAGATGCGTTCTGTGAAAACCATGCTGGGAAGAATAATTGGAACCCTTTTGAAAATTGACTTATCCTGTAACTACTAGGTTAATATGACGGTGAACTGTTTAGTACGACTTTTAGAAATCATTGTGCGTTGTCAGCCTTTTGGGGATTAAGATTTCGGAGATTTGGGGATTGGAGATTGGGGAGGGATAGGAGAGGGTAACTTGCAACCTTTGGTATTTGGAACCTTATCTTACCAGTAGGTATGTAACCTAATATTTTTATTCCCAGAAATACTTCGAATCAGTGGGCGAGTGTGACATCGAGCCCACGCTCCGACCGGACGCGTTAGAACAAGCCTGGTCTCGACTGCTGATGGCGCAGCAGGAGAGGGAACGAGACCTCACTGATGAAATACGCAGGCTTGAGCGACTGCAACGATTGGCTGAAAAATTGCACAGGTGAGGAAGATTGAAATTTATTTGTATCTGTGTAAGGTTGATTTTAAGGTTGCGGTGTTAAATGGTTGTTAAAAAAGGAAAAAGTGACGTGGTCGTACATGTTTAAGGTGCACTTTAATTTAATATCATTAGAAATATAGCTAATCACTGTCTCGTTTATTTTGAACTTTATTTTCGTGCCACTTAGGTATTATTTGCAAGAAAGAAAAGAAACGTTAATTTGGCAACTAATTCATAAGCAACCCTAACTTTCAGCATATCAAATCGAATTTCAAATCATTATCCAGAAATCATCAGACAGCAAACAAAAACCAACCCCATCTATTAACAAATAAAATCGAATTAAAAAAAAACAATCTAAAAATCCTTCGAATAAAACTAATCCAACGTCATATTACAGGGATATAAAACAGACAGAAAGTGGTTTAGACAGCGTAGAACGGCATATCGAGAGTGAGATCCGTCGCGTTGAGCGCGGCGTCCACCCGGCCGACGCTAAGCTGGCGGCAGAAAACATCGAACAAGAGCTACGAGCTATGGAGCATACCATCCAGGAAATGTTCCAGGATTCCCACACCCTGAGAGAAGGAAGATACCCTCAAGCTGCTGATTTGCATAGACGGTTAGTACTATTATTATATTTGACTTCTTAGTAATATTACTAGCAGACCCAGCCACGCGTTGCTATGGCTAAGATAAATAATATTGTGACTATAAATTGAGATGTAAGCTACCCTATCTTTCAAGTTGGATCAAAATGCACACAGAATTCAAATCAAATTTAAAATCGGTTTAGTAGTTTAGGAGTCCATCGCGGACAAACACGTGACACGAAATTTTTATATCTAAAGATAAATGCGAAAGTTACAATGTTTGGATGTTTGTTACTCAATCACACACAAACGGCTGGACGGATCTGGATTAAAGTTGGCTCAGGCTTAGGATACACTTCGGAATAAGACATTGGCTACTTTTCATCATAATACCACGAGGGCGGTATAAATACTGTGTTAATTTGTTATACGGTTTATACGCGTTTTTTATTTTCGAGGTGACTCGACTTGTTTCGGGCTCGGACAGAGTCTATAAACGGCAGGAATGTGCAACACATTGCGTGTTGGATGTCGGGAAGCTTAGTAGAGCCCTAAAACTAAATGCGACTTAAGCTCAGTACATAGTCCTATGTGAATTTGTAAAAGCTTAAAGATGAAATGACCATGACTAAGAGGACTGACCGACATACTCTCAGTATGTCGGTCAGTCATACTGACAGTATGTCGATACAGACTGATATACTGTCAGTATGAAGTTATTTGCTTGTTCCAAGTGTAGATTCCGATCGACGGACGAAGAATCATCAAGAAACTCCACGGTCACTCTTTTACAATTATATATAAGTTGCACAAACATATTCCTTGTTACTTGAATTAAACATCCAGCACCTGTATTCGTAATGCTAGAAAACACTTCTATTTTCTTCCACAGCGTCCAACAAGTCCACGACCGCTGGCTGAACGCCCGCCAATCCTTCACCGGGCGCCTGGTGCCCCGCTTATCATCAGTCAGAATGCCAGTACAGCAGACTACAGTCCGCCGAGAGACTCGCACTGTGCTGGAGACCAGGGTACATGATGCAGATCCCAAGTTCCAGCAGCTCAGTGAGGCGACCAGATGGTGTAAGGAGAGATTGGTAAGTTATGGAAACATCAACCTTATCCCGATGACCTAAAGAGACGAATAATTTTGCAGTTTAAATAATTTGGACCCTATAAGTTCCACTCATACCTTTAGAATTGAACTTAGCTAATCAGAATTCGATTTAATAGTTTTAGAATGTATTAGTAAATTGTTAATAATAATAATTTTGTAAGGTAATGAAAAAATTAGGCCTTTTTAGAGGTAAATTATCAAATTACTTCTCCCGTCGGTAACTTTATTCGCACGGCGAAAAACAAGGCTTTTTCACGCCGGTGTTATGTGAGGCCGTGGTATCACTCCAGTCGAGCCGACCCATTCAAGCCGATGGCTCTCTCACACACTTATAATATTAATTCTTATATTTTTCTACAGAAAAAGCTCCACGAGTCAGACTACGGATCCGACCTGCCATCAGTACAACACGAGCTGGACAAACATCAGAGGGAACACAAACAAATCGACCAGTTCCACTCCAAGGTAAGAGGAAGAAAGAGTTATAGTCTCATCCTTGTTACTCTTTTTTATAGAACATGGATTTAACGAGCAGAAAGATAACTGATGGTAAGCAAAACATGCCACTCATGGATGTGGAATACCAGAGGAATTGCATTTTTGCAAGTTGCAAATAATTGCTCTTTTATGGATGTAAGGAATGAGGGATTTAACACAAGACATTATTATGCTTGTTGTCTTTTTTTAGCGGGAAAAATCTTTGAATGAATTTTCTTGCCCTGGACGGGGTGATATCTAGGTACTGACGCTGCGGTGTAATTGTAACTAGATCAGCAAAAATAGTTCGATAGCTATGTATACGGTACTTAACGGTATTTGACAACTAGTCAAATTCAATACTTTTATTGAAATATCAAAAACGAAACTGTTCTATGAATTTGGTACCTATAGAAAACAGATATGTGACGTCATCATATTTTTGGGTCAAATAGAATACGTTTTTTTTTTAAATGTACCCAATAATAATCTAAAATTAATTATATCGGCCAACCATTAATGTGGTACGATTATTTTTTAATATTTATTTGTATTGAAATTTTGAAGGAATTTATTATTGATCGCGGATAATACCTAATAGTATCTAAAATACTTAGTGATTGATCTTTTAATATTTTCATCCCCAGGTCGAACAATGCGTCCACAACCGCGCCAACTTCAGCGGTGAAGAGCTGAACCTGTACAACCAACACCTCAGTCAGCTGCAGAAGCTGTATGCTGAACTGCTGTCCACCAGCACTAAACGGTAATATAATATTCGTTATAGTTAAGTAAATATGAACCTTATTGTTTTCAACATAAATTTTGTAATTGCGGTTTGAAATAAGAATTTCTTTTTTATAAAAAAATATTTGCGTCAATTGATTATGAACTTAATTGTGTCCATAATAGAATATTTTTTTTTGATGGTAAACGTTTTTCTACTGAAGTCGTAATACGTTCGAATTCGAATTTTCAAATAAGTAAATGTTCAATGCAATTTGAGTTTTAAACTTTTATCGTAAGGTCTGATTTTACTTGGCGTTGTCGTAATTATAAATGTGACATGAAACCTTTTGAGTGTATTTTATACTCTACTTCCTTATAAATAGATTAATTGTTTTTTTTTTCTCACCAGTGACAGTGACAATTATGAGTCCTAAAGCTATACAATTAAAATCCAATTTTCTCTTTTCCCAACAGCATGTCAGACTTGGACGCTCTTCAAGACTTCTTGCAATCAGCCACAGCTGAACTGAACTGGTTGAACGAGAAGGAACAGGTGGAACTGTCCAGGGACTGGGCAGACCCTCACATCAACCTTCCAGCTGTACAGCATTATTACGAGGTAAAGATAGTCAAGCTGTTTTCAACTTTATTTTTAACGGTTTAAAGTTTAATATCTGTGATAACGTAATAGGTACTTGTGGCATTGTGTCATTATCTGTCTGATTGTCGTGTCTTTGAAAAAGTACCAATGGAGTTTCTTTTAAATTGTAAAGGATTGATTGACAAATAAAATGTGTATTAACTGTTTAAAAATCTGTGTGGCTGGGGTTGCGAGTAAAGCGCAATAATTTACCACAATCTTGGCTAGGAGCAGGAGAAGGAAAGGGGGGGCTTTTAGTCAGTAAGAGTCTGACACTCTCTCCAGCCACACTCAGGATGGGAGAACTCGTTTCATAATTTATTATTCTGTAAAGAAAAATCTTGTAAAAACGATGAACAAGTGTCTTCAAAACAAATCGTTTTTTTTTCATTCCTTCTCCCAGATTTATGTATATACACCAGCACTTATAGCTACCCCAATTATTCAAATTTTTCAAAAGATTTTAGACTTTAATACATTAACAATAAAGTTGAAAATACATTAACCAAGGTAGCTTGATAAGCTAGTGTATATACAGGGAGATGTTATTTCTGACAATTAGTTAAACCTGTTCATTTTGTTACAAGCATTCGTTTGGCGACGACAGAGAGGTTGGTTTTATATTTAGTTTTACCATTTTTCAATTATATTCAGTTGCCATTTTGTTTTTATGTGCTTTTTTTTACGTGTTCTTGCATGTTTAGGTAGTTTTTTCCATTCAATCGTGAAGAAATTATTGGCTAAGCAAACTATCGAGTTTTTTATAGACTATTATTATCGTTATAAAGGAGGCTGACAGCAAAAAGGTCCACTGGATGTCATCTAGTTGAAAACCTGCATTTCTATTAGCTTATCTTTATGCTAAAATAATACAGGTGAATGTTGGAGAATTGGTTCTAATTTTAAAACACATAATATGTCCAGACCCAATACGGTAGTTTTCAACTACATGAAATAAATAACGAAATTTTTCTACGCATTCTGTATGATTAAAGCGTATGAGTCAAAATATTATTTTGAAAAAATTTGAATATAAATTTATCGTAAAATTAAAGTAAAAAATGATGTTATTTTTAAAAAGTCTTTTATGTAATATTAAATAAGACAAAATTTCTCACAGCAACTGATGTCTTCCCTCGAGAAACGTGAACTGCAATTCAGCAATGTCATTGACCGTGGAGAAGCGCTCATCGCTCAACACCACCCGGCTACAAAGACTATCGAGTCTCATCTACAGGTTTGTTCAGTTAAAATTATACTTTAAATTTATAGTAGTTAGGTTGTTTTCCTTTAGTGCTGAACTTTCAATGGTTAGATAAAAGTTATCTAGGGAATAATTATGATGCTGTCGCGTCAGAATGTTTGTATAAGACAGAGACAGCAACAATTTCATTTCTAAGATAATATTTATGACTATTGCAATATCAGTCCTCACTATAATAATTTATTAATAAGTATTAAAATTTCACATAGTAGACTAAAGTTTCTTAACAATCGAACTATCACGAGTTTTAAAAAATCCTCGGTTTCATTTGTTACCTAGGTCCTGTTGTTTTACAGTCCTTAGCTTTCCTAAATAAATGAACTATCTAACACAAAAATAATTTTTCAATTTTAACCAGTAGTTGAAATACTTAAAATAAAATGGATGTTCAATGAGAGCTCTATACAAAAAACATGTCATTTACTCCTGATTTGTTTATTTAATGCTCGTTCGATTCCCAGGTGATGCAGTCTCAATGGGCGTGGGTGCTACAACTGACGCTGTGCCTTGAAACACATCTCAAGCACACCACACAGTACCACAACTTCTTCGAAGAGGTCAAGGAAGCCGAGAAATGGATTCAGAAGTATGTACTTTAATGTTTCATTTTTTTATTTGATAATGAACTTTATTATGAAACAGAATATGGTTCAAAATCGTTTTGGCATTAAAAGACTGTAGAGATCAATATCGATAATTTATTATGAGTAGAATTTGGCATATTTGTTCAATTTTTAAGTCATATTATTAAGAGACATAGAATCGAAACAACTTTATTGCAACCTGAAAATATGGTTTAAATTATTTTAGCAGTAAAACACCATAGAGATTAATATCGATAATTTGTTATGATAATGTCTGTTGCATTGAAAACATTTTTCCTGTTTAAGATATTTTCTAATAATTTCATATCTCTTACAGACGCGAAGAAGCCCTGAACTCGACCTTCTCGCAGTCAGAATTCACTTTAGACCAAGGTGAACGTCTTCTGAAGGGTATGCAGGAGTTGAGAGAGGAACTGAACTCCCACGGAGGTCTGGTCTCTAGGCTGGTGGAAGATGCACAGGAGATTAGGCCTGTGAAGCAACGCAGGGCTCCTATAACTAGGCCTTTAAGAGCTGAGACAGTCTGTGCTTATAAACATGCCAATGTGAGTATTTTCTGTTACTTTGTTTGTGTCGAACTGTGATTGGTATGCTTCGATCGATTTTGAATTCTAAGTTAATTGCGAGTGAGTTCAAGTTTGAGTAAATTAATTTTGGAATTTACTTTTGCTTGATTATTTATAAATTCGATCGAGTTATGTGAATCGAAGTAATAAAACATAATGTTTTGCTTAAAACAAAAAACTTCCCCTTCCCCAATTCCAAAATCTCCAAGTCCTTAATTGCCAAAAGGTCGGCAACGCACTCGTAACTCCTTCGATGTTCCATGGGCGGCGCTGTTTGCTTACCATCAGGTAATCCGTTACCTCGTTTGCCGCCCTATTACGTAAAAAGAACAAGTTTACTAGTTGTACTGACTTAACAATATTCTTTCCTCACAGGTGGCTATAGAAAAGGGGTCAGCGGTGACGGTGGTGGACAACTCAGGTCGCAGCAGATGGCGCGTGCGACTGGGGGGGGCGGGCACCGACGTGCAGGTGCCCGGCGCAGTCGTCGCGCTGCCGCCGCCCTGCCAGGACGCCATCGACGCCGCCGCCAGGCTCCGGAGCGCGTACGACAGGGTAAGCCATATAACACAAGGATTCAAAACATGATAAGTGTGGGAGAGCCATGCTTAGTCTCCAATGGGCCGGCTGAAGTCGGATTGACCGAAGTGATATCACGGCTTCACAGAATACCGGCGTGAAACAACACTCAGGTTGTCTGAATAAGGTTCCCGGAGGCCCAATCCACTCCTTCCCCCCCTTTTTAAATTCCTAATTACCTACAGCTAATGCGCTTATAGCAAATAACTCCTTTGGTTTTACTAGTGTTCATAGGCGACGTCGATTACTTACCATCAGGAAATTACGAAAACCGCTTGCTCGTTTTCCGACTTACATGTGCCAAAAAAATCTGATGATAGTGTGGGAGCCATGCTCCAGCACGAATGGGTCTTCTCAACCGGAGTGATACCATGACCTCACAGAAAACCGGCGTAAAACCACCACAGCGTTTTATTTCGCCGTGTGAGTGAGGTTACCGGAAGCACAACGCAAAACCTACATATGTTTATGAAACTTGAGGTCATTGTCTACCACTCAGAATACATTTAAAACTTAAGCCCTATCACTAAAATCCCTCCCTTAACCTCTTAACTTAATTGCATAAGAATAAACATAAATATCACTATCAGCTGCGCAAACGCATAATAACAAACAGAAACCCGTTAATGAATGATCAACAAACTGATTATTTCTACCATTTTAAACTATGATCTCAACAAGATGGGTTTATTAGACGTTTTCCAGCCATTTGTGTATTGTATGTGTTTGATTTTGTGTGTGTTTTTCAAGGTCATACAACTATGGCAGAGGAAGCAACTGAGGATGCGACAGAACATGATCTTTGCCACCATCAAGGTGGTCAAGGGATGGGATTTCCCACAGGTTAGTTAATTTTAATTATTTTCATTTTGTTTCTTACACATGCTTTTTTATTTTTTTTATATACTTATATGGTACACACACATTTTTTTGTTTGTACAAAAATGAAGAGACAAGATTCTCTTTATATACGGTAGTTTTCAACTATAGTCAAATTCAATACTTTAATCGATACTTTTTTGTGATAACTATTCTTAAAAAATTGTTTTGTCTTTGTCTTAAAAATTTGTTTTATTATAAAAAAAATGTTTTTTTTTTCAATAATTAATGAAAGTGTAGTTATTTTCCAATATAATTTATTTTCGACCAATGAAACTACCGAATACCCGTATTACCATCTACTTACACCATTTCATTATGTAGATAATATTATTTCATCTATTTCCTATATTACAATCTTTCTAAATAAAATAACCTTTCCTTCCTTTAGTTCGTGGCAATGGGCGCAGAACAACGCCAGGCCATCCGCCGTGCGTTGAATGAGGACGCTGAGAAGTTGTTAGCTGAGGGTGACCCAGCTGACCCTCAGCTACGGAGACTCCGCCGTGAGATCGATGACGTCAACCGGCTGTTCGATGAATTCGAGAGGAGAGCCAGGGCTGAAGGTATGTGGAAATAAATTAAAACTAGCTTTTGTCCGCGACTTTATTGGCGTGGAATAATGACTTCCTGCTATTTTTTGGTTTAAAAACTATCCTTTGTCCTTTCTCGAGTTCCGAACTATGTTCGTGCCAAATTTTTACACATATAATGTAGGTTCAGTAGTTTAGGCGTGAAGAAAATACAGACAGACAGACAGAATTACTTTCGCATTTATAATATTAGTTTGGATTTTTTCTTAGTTTGGCGCAATTGAGAGTTTGTGAGTAGAACGTGGTAGGTTGCAAATTATATCCTAGGTTTGTTCAGTTTCACTCCTCTCCTCACCAATATTATAAACGCGGAAGTTTGAAAGCATAGATGAAAGGATGTTTGTTAATATTTCACATAAAAACTACTGAAGATAGCAGTCTGGAATAACACATAAGCTTTCTACCCTGGTATCTGCTTCTGCGGGCGAAACCACAGGCAGAAGCCAGTTCCTAATAAAGCTACAATCAAAACGTCAACCTATATAACAAAGAATAGCCTTGAATAAACTTTTAAATTAATATTTATTTGTAAACTTCCGCTACATGCAATTCTAACACATTACAGTCTAAGAGACGTAATATGTAATTAATCGGTTAGAAAAATAAGATTTTTTATTGGTCTAATTGAATAATGGGAGTTCTGAACGCAGTAGGAAAGAATTAAGATTTATATCTCTTCAGTATTTATGACAGCCTAGTACCACGAGTCGTTATTGTGAGTTCCTTGCATTATTATTTGTTTGATTGCTGACCTACATATATGTATGTATTTTTTATGAGTTCACGCGGCTTACGGTCTTACGGACTACCTGATGGTAAGCAATTTGCCCGCAACAGCAACAGGACTTGCAATTGCATTGCTGACTTTTCGGGGGTAAGGTTATATTAGGAGATTTAGGTATCGAACCAAAGTGTCCTCTGATAACTTTCATTCACACGGCGAAACACAAGCAAGAAAAACGATAGCGTTGTTTCACGCATGTTCTCTACGAGGCCGTTGTATAATTCCGATTGATCCAAGCCCATTCCTGTAGCCTATTTTAAAAACAGTTTGGTATGACGCAATTTGCTGAGTATTAAAAAAGAATGAAAAATAAATTCACATCACGTTTTCTTTATTATTATTAAGATCAGAAAGTAAAATAATTATTAAAATTAATTGATTGCTCTAGGTGGAATAAATTATACATAAACGATTATAACTTGAATTTCGCTCCTGTTACCAGACCAAAACAGACGATAGTAGCAATTTTTCCTCTGCCCCTAGTTGCCAAAATGTAGATATATTCTTGAGAAACAAACAGATGTCCTATCATAAAAATATTATCACACACATTTCTTATACATGACATAAATAAATAACGAATAATTGTTATTGATTATTCATCCGTCATTATAAAAACAATAAACAAAACACCAAATCTGTCTGTCCATTCGCAATAATTTAAAAAGTTACTGAACGTATTTGAAAGCTGTTTTATTTAACAATGTATAGAATAAAAGAAGATTATTGATTTGAAAAAGGAATACTTATAATTATAGAAGTTACAAATGGATATTATTGGATATATAAACATTTTAAGACCCTTTCTGTTAGAAAATAAAATTGATTTTAGATTAGAAAGATTTTCAAGTGATCACTCAATTAATTATTATTTAATAGTTTTAACACAATACATTTACTTTAGTACACTTAGACCGGCCAGCTAACAGAAAGATAACAACATGATTTATTTGCACCTTGACATTATACTGTGCAACAGTAGGTTTTGATACTTTGTCGATGGTTATTTTTATTTTAATTTTAGTATGATATATTATTTTCCTCATTTTAAATCACAATCTGAACTCTTTTTATTAATCATCTTTGATTAAAAAATAAACGCGGTGTTCGGTAGTGAATATAAGAGACAATCTTTATGTATTGATTTTTAAAATTTATTAATAATCTAGTAAAACTATTCTTGTATAACACCTTAATAAATATATCAGAAATCGACTACACGATTCCTGAACAAATGTCAAATCCAAGTATCAAAACTATCCACACGGGCGACACTTCAATATACTTCGACGTATTACGACAAAGGACCAACGTACTCGGTCCTACGGGCGCACGCCGGCAGTCGTAATTAGTATACCGTATGATACAACTCGTACCGAAGCGTAGTACATAAGTCTGTGTTATATACTTCGATTATAATAAATCGTATAAGGACTCTCTTTACGCGCGTTAATGGTGAAAAAAATTTAGTGTTTTTCTTTTAGTGCTTGTGGAATTTTTTTTAAGAAGTTTTGCAATAACAATGATCTCAATAGTTTCTGTTTTGTTTAGGCTTTGATAAGGACTTTGTCAAATAAATTTTCGCCCGCATATTATTTTACTTACACGTTTGTTTCCACGAACCACTTTTGGTGTTTTTTAACAGTTTGTGTTTTTAATGGAACTTAAAATACCTAGAGTTTAGATCAATCTAGAGTGATTTTCTGGTCCTTAAATGGAAGTTGTTTCGAAATGCTAAACATAATGTTCTTACTTACATTAGTGACTTAAGATTTTTCAAATAATTAGCAAGTTTGTTCAAATAACTAACGCAAGAAAAGCTTATGGCTTTGATCGTAATCTTAAATAAATGAGTGCATCGTTGCTTATCTGTTTATCTTGGGCAATATTACTGTTAGCTTAACCTGCAAGCATTTAGTACAGTTTTGCAATCAGTCTTTGTTTTGGAAACTTGTTGCATTTGGCATTTGGGCAAAAGATAAGATGCATTAAAAATTCGAATAGTTTAGTTAGAAGTTCTCAAATGAAGGAGGCCACGACGTTAGAAAGTGTTCTCAAGCGATGATCATGACACCTAATCTTTTTTTTAAATTTTGATCTCAGGAGACGAGCCTCTAAAGTATTTTTTTTAATATATATCTTCTATAAATGCGACTGTATTGTCGATACCTATTCTTAAATATTTTTTACTGATTCAATATTCACGCAACGAATATTTTTGGCGCGCATTTATTGATTCTGGCGCCCGTTTTGTTTTCAAATTAAGAACTACTTACAGATTGTGCCTGCCTTTGTTTTTTTTAATGCATAGCAACGATCATTTTGTATATTACCTATACAAAAAATCCTCTGTAAGTAAACTTTTATTATATTTGTCAGAAAAAGCAGCACTTATGTTCAATTAATTATTTATTTCCTTGTTCAGAAGTACTTATTTTCTTCTGTGAAACTTCATTCAATTTGAATGTAATATGGTCTATATTGTCACATAAAGACTTAGGTCCTTATTAAAATCAACAAAGCCTAAATGTTTTAATTATTTCAATAAATAACGACAGTCCCAGTAATTGCCCAAATGTTATGAGACCAAATTCTATAATTAGTTCAGTTTTTTCATACGCAAATCATATGCGAATCATTCTTGCGTACGTTACGGCGGGTTTTCAGTTGTTTCTTGCATTTCGAAAATATTTTTAGTTAAAAATATGCTTAAGAGCAGATTAATTGAATCAAATTAGACGTTTGTTGTTCTATTATCATATTTGCGGAAGCTGATTTCGAATATTCGATTTTTAAAAAGTTGGTCCTTCTTTCCAGAAAAGGACCAATTTCGAATTTCTTACTTTCGATATGTGGTCCTTTAGAATGTCGATCGTTGGCAAGTAGTAAAAACGCATTTCATTATTTATAGACATTTGTTATAAATAAAAGTGAAATTGTTATTATAAATGCTATGACAGTGTAGTGATTTACTTGAGTGATATTCTGAAGTGTCATTGTCAAGTGTATCGCAATGAAGAAGATAAAACGAATATTCTCCTTCGGGAAAGGAGGTTTGTATTTGTCAATGTATTTTGTGATGATAGATAGCTATAGTCAAGGGATCTTAAATATCTTTCCTGTATAGATTATTTAGTAAATTTACTCGTTTATGAACATGGCAAGTTTCATTGTTGCACGGTATTATGTTAAAGAGATGTATCTTTGTATGATCCATAAATTGCTGGTCCCGGCCTGGGTGTGAAGTTTATGTGAGTTTGTATGTTTTTAAACGAAACAGTAGAAGTACTACAAAATAAGGTTATGCTTAAAAAATAGAAATTCTACTTATATAAAATTACATTCGTAAACTCACTCAGTCGATAAGTTAGTTAGTCAGTCAGAAAAGTCTCTTGCATTAGTTCCATGATTTTAATTGTAGGTCATAGACCAGGAATGCATAATGCGAGCTTTCTTTTCGTTAACGCAATGAAAATTTCTTAGTTCACTGATTGGTTGATTAACTTGGAGCTAGCCAATCAGAGTGATGGATGTCTTAAATGTGTCAATCGCCTTAAAGTAAAGCAAACTTGCATTAGACCCTCAGTTCTCTTAAATGTTACATTTAATCTATGTGGTTCTCTCATTCTCATAAACCATTAGCGAAACATTGTTGTTATGTACTCATATTTTTCTTAAATTGGCCTTACACACGCGATCCAACCAAAGTTATGTAAAAAATAAGTCGGCTTTAAATCGTACAATCATTTAGGTTTGGAAACATTTAAGTCGTATTTGAAATTGTCTCTTAATTGTTACATCTAAAAAAATGCCTTATTTTATTTTGTTAGTGTAATAAAATAGAGACATTTAAAACGGCACAGACAACTCATTCTCAAAACTGTAGATGAAATGAGGTGAAAAGCCTCAAAGACCCTCTTAGCACACAAACCCACATGATGTCAAAACACACAATCCCAAACAAAACACATTAACCGTTGATTTTGAAAATTCGAATTGAAATATTTAGAATAGTGAATAGTCCTAGTATGTATCTATTATATAAGGCAATTCCTCTCCCTAGAAGTACTTCAGGACAAATATGACAACTTCAACTGCCTCCCACACATTGACCTTTTCATATCCAAACATCAGGAACAGATTTGATTTGTTTCTATGAAATAATAGTGTTATAAACGTACCGTAGCGATATTAAACCTTGTTTGTGTAAGGTAAAAGATCATTTTCCAATGCCAAGCTCTGGCTAAAACTACCATAGCAACGTATCTTCTACTCTATCGCAATTTTCTTCGAGTTCATTTTTCATTATACCGGTCTGAACAACACTCCAGAAATTCCATGAACTAGGCTTATTTCGAGGAAAGCTTCAAATTTAATCTATATTACATAATACTTTCTAGAGTTTCAAGAATCTTAAGATTTAATACGTTTTTTCTCGTATCTAAAATACCTGTTATATTCACTTCATTGTTTGGATACTTTTCTAGATGCTGCTTTCTTATTTGACTAGTTGAACTCTTCCTTGTATCCTTGCTAATGTCGGTGGGCCCTAAAGTAAGCCCTATGGGCATAGTGACACCTTACCACATTTCGCCTACTTCCAATTTAAGATGATGTCATCCACGCAATCCTCATTGTTCAATTGTTACATGTCGAGGTCTTGCCCAGACATTTCGAACCAAACAACTCCCACTTTTTATAAATTAAGAAGTTACGAGCTTGTTTTTAAAGGCCCTGTAGGTGCTATATGTAAATTGGACGAATTGATGCAGGTCTGGTCTGCTGGATTGCCATTTTGAACCTTTTGTCTAATAAATTTGAGTCGGAATTGACAAATACTGAATGTTGTAATTGAGTTTGCTTGGCTGTGCTCGCCATTTTAAATCAAATGTGCTAAGAGTATAAGAGTGGATATCGTTTAGCAAGAAAAGTTATTGACCATGAAGGAATGTTATTTCTTAGTTTAATTGGCATACGTTTTGTGGGTGATCATGATTCTAAATTCAATTAAAAAAAGGATTCTAACAACCCGTATTCTTGTTAAATATGAAAGTACGACATAATACGATATAATCCTACTACGAAAATATTGCTATCTGGTTATTTGATTATTATTATGACAGTCATCACAAAACACAATTTAGTCGAATTTTAAAAATAGTCACAGGATTGGCTCAAATAATTAACAAGCCGTTGAGTAATCCGACCAAAACTTTTCGACGAAATATATTTTGCTTCGAATGAATCACACCTCATTTGAGTCAAATCTCGAACTCGGAGCAAAACTGCCTAAGACACTCTTCCTTTTTTAAGTCTTTAACATTACTAAAATTGAAGTCACATGCGTTACCCCCCTGACCTCTGAATTGCCACCAAACATGATTTTTAGTGTCCAAAAGCAGCGTCAATTAGTTCTAGTGGATCATGATGTCATAGTATTTTTGAACAGTCGACGTTCAATTCGATTGACCTTGAGTTCTGAAATACAGGTTGTGACAGTTATCACTGCAATTGACAATGCGAGCGAGAGTGGGAGGTCCACAGAGTACACAAATGAGCAGAAGGTTTAGTTTTGAGATGACAGAAATGTGGAGGATGGTTATGGATGGCAGCTTAGATAAATAAATGTTGGTACAGAAATGCCTTATCACCACATCCAGTAGTTAATTAACTCTAATTCTCTTTTATCTTTTACAGAAGGCATAGTCCAATACTTAGTTAAAAGAAAACGAAAATATATTTTGTAGAAGCTAAATAAAATATTATAAACACTATAAAGTACGTGTCGTCCAATATTATAACTTTACATAAGAAACCTATTGATTTCATGAAGCCGTTATACAGACCAACTAGTGATTCACCGCCGGGGCTCGCGCTGCAAAAACTAAGTGCGCCTACTACCTTTCCTCACGAGCAAAAATAATTCAATTAAAGAGATTATCGATATATTACTCTATGTAGAACTCAGCCAAACTTCTAGTTTCGTTCGAGTATCAATAGTTCAGTACACAAAAAGGCGTGATCGTCGCTCTTCGTTAAATTTGACTAAAAATTCATCTGTTGTCGTAACGTTTCGGTCATTCAGTGTCGAGTCAGACGGCCGATCTAGATCTTAGTTTCAGTAACACGAAAGCGGTCAACAATTCAACATTTTTGTTTAGAATATTTTTCTGTACTTTTAATTAATATTAAATGTATTTGAGGATTTATATTGTATATGTTGAGAGGACCGTGGAGCGAGTTGAGCGCCGGCGACGGGACCCAGGTGCTTAGTGAACCGAATAATTGGTCCTTCGATACGGAATGGAAATGAGTGATTACGTGAATCAGTTTTGATTGGAATGTGATGTGCTTTGGTCTTTGATTGGTTGAACGTGAAGTTTGGTTTGTGTTTGTGTCTGTGCGTGTTTTAAGGTTAGAAATAACATTGGATTAAATTGAATATTGACTAATTATCTTGCGAAATAAAACTTACAGTTTTATTTATGAAACCACGATCTCAAAGAAATCATTGAAAATTTGATTACTATTTAAATTACAAAATGTCTGCAAAGCCTTCGGCTGTAAGTAGATTATAATTATACATTTTAGTGGATGTTGGTAATGGCATTTTCAAGGTTGAACAGATGTCTTAATGGGAACTACAGTGTGTCGCTAATTCTTATTGTTATGACACAGCAGGAGACTGATAAATATGTCAAACTTAGTCAAAATATAATATTCATACAGTACTTGGTAGAAATAATAATATTATTATTCATCTGCCATGATAGAAGACTGCATTATAAGCAGTTCATTGAACTATCTTTTCTACACCTATACGAAAACGGTTTATTTTTGAAAAATGTGTCATCGCCCATTTATAAATCAGTGTTCAAGAAGAAATCTTAAATGATTTAATTGCTTACTATGCACAGGTCAGGCAATAAAGTCAGTTCTTAATGATGATGATGATGATGATCTATAAATAGGTACTGATTTGATCTTAGTCACGGTATACGGTTCACGAACTTGTTTACTTTCAATTACTGTAATGATTATTGTAGTTGTGGAATTTGCACACTTAATTTAGCTTCTGTCAGCGGAGCTACTAGTGTTACCGAGAAAATGTGACCATTTTTTGTTTGAGGGGAGAAAATAACAAATGACTGCACTCGCTATGGCCGGGTCGGACTCTTATTGACTAAAAACCACCCCATTGTTTCTCCTCCTCTCACGGAGGATGTGGTGCCCAATTAAGGCCGAACATTAGCCCTATGCATCTGTTGTTTTAAATTAGGCCGTAATTTCGTAATTTTCACTGGACCGTTGACGGCTTGCTGGTAGAATGTGGCTTAATGACAAAACTTTTTTGACTACAAAAAAGGCATAATTATAGAATAGCCCCATAATCGCTTGACTACTACCTTTTGTGGCTCATGTAAACTCATGATCCTAAAGAGCTGATTTTCAATGGTGAGATAAAAGTTACCTGGGGAATAATGATGATGTTGTCGCGTCAGAATGTTTGTATAAGACAGTGACAGCAACAATTTTATTCCTCACATAACATTTATGTATCTGACTATTGAAAAATCAGCCCTTAATAAATATATTTATCTAAAGTCTATCAAGTCTATTTTTGTTCAGTGATGTGTCACATTTTATTCGAATTAATTGTTCTTTGTTTTCAATTCATATAAGAAAGCATAATAGGGGTATCTATTATTGTAAACTTTGGTATTCTTTGTAAATGTAATTGAAATAGGTTTTGTTTTCTTACTTTGAGTGGAGGTGACTAGCAATGAATTCTTTTTATAGTAATGAAGGAAAATATTGATACTGTTTTGACAAATTTGAGTGATAAATTTTTCTTTTATATATTAGTAAGATGTAGCAGTTTAGCAGTGGATGTGTTGTGGCTCATTTGATGATGTATGAATTTAACATCAATTCTTCTGGAAATATCTTTAAGGCCTTTTCTAAATTTCCATTTCTTCTTCCACAGAGGAATCGAAGAACGCCGCCCGCATATTCACAGAACAGTCATCGAATCTTCTGGAACGTCTCGAAGTTTTGGAGAGACAGCTGCATGAGAGGATAGCCAGCCATATCCCACGTGACTTGGATACGTTGGAGCACCTGGTGCTGCAGCATAAGGATTGGGAGACCAGTGTACATAGCCTCACCAACGATGTGGAGGAAGTACAGGCTACATTCAGAGGTACGATTCTGCTCTTTTGTTATACAAGTCTACTTATTTTTTATCTAATTTCAGGGTTTTCTGAAGAAATACTGATCTTGGCAGGCATGCCTTTGATTTTTGGGTCCAAAAGTCACAACATTAAAGCGTCAGCGTATTGTGATGATAATTATGTTGTACGGCTTACTTGCTGAAATGGTTGACGAGGTAGCTGAACTAATTTCGAGGAACGCTCGGGGCTCATAGTGTTGATATGCGTTACACAAACACTATTTCTACATTCTGTAGCTCCTTTTGAAAAGAGTTGATTTATAAAAGTGTGACGTTTAGATTGGAGAATCTAATATTATTATGTATTTACCTTTCCCCAGGCATCGCCCTCAAGACTCCCGCCATGAAGAAGAGCCTCGACAAAGTGATGGGCAAGTGGAATGATATGCAGTCCAAGAGCCAACTCTTTGTCGATAGGTAAGCGAACTCATATCTAATATAATCCCATCAATATAGAAATAAAACTATGTTTTGGGCGGAATTAAAATTGAGAAATAAATGAAATTGTGTCCTACCAAATTACAAAGTGAATTTCGGTATTTATAATTATTTATCAATAACAAAATATTATTCATGATAAAATGCGTCGTCAATTATTTTGTAAATATTATCCCAGACTTGTTTTGATGTTGTATTATGGCCAGACATTTTCACACCAATCTAATAATAATGTGTTATCATTATCAATTAGCAAGAGTATATGATTATATCGACCTGACGCTCAGGTGATTCTGAGACTTTGGTTGCCAGTTTTGTTTATTTCGTAATGGAGTTATTTGGCCGCTATCACGCCTGGTGGTAAGCTATGATGCGACCTAAGGTGGATCACGCGTACCCATAAGCGACCTATTTACTCGGGTCTTGAAGATACCCAGGTTGTCAGAGCACACAGATTCCGGCAAAGAATTTCACTCAGACAAACAGTTTTTTGAGGAGGAGGAGGAGGTTAAGGCGCCCGCTTGTCATGCATGAGGGTGCGGGTTCGAAACCTGGCAAGTACCAATGTGTTTTCCGAGTTATATGTACTTTCTATGATTATTTAGACACCACTGACATACGGTGAAGGTAAACATCGTGAGGAAACCTGGACTTATAATTTCTAATTATAAGTTTGAAATCACCAACCCGCATTGAGCAAGCGTGGTGATTAATGCTCTAACCTTCTCCGTGTGAGAAGAGGTCTTTGCTCAGCAGTGGGCACTTATAGGCTGATGATGATGATGAAACAGTTTTTATAACACTGAACACTATACGTAACAATTTATCCAATTAGATGCAGTCCTTTTAGAGTTATAAACACACATACGTACACTATAGAGTTTAAGTTGATAATAAAGATGTGATATCTTCTCTTCTTTTAATAAATAGTTAACGAACGAATACCAACATTTGTTAACATTAAATTCTGATGTTTTATACAGGCTGAAGTTTGTGGAGATAGTGGTGAACAGTATGGAGGAGAACCACCAGACAATATCAGAGTTCGAGATCAAACTCGCGCAGTTCAACGACTTACCGAACGATGTTGAACTGTTGAAAGATGTAAGTATATGTATATTAATTGAAAATACGACTCAGTCACGTGAATTTACTAAGTAAAGTATTTAATTTAAATACAAGTATTATTTGTAATATTTGCAAATATGATCAAAAAATGGTCCTTTATTATACTAGCTCTTTGTTAATTAATGACATTTTAAATGAGCCAAAATCACTTGAATCAGGTATACTTACTTAATAATCAAGAATATTAAATTTGGCTTGTGTCTTTTGTCTTCGCTAAAATAATGTAAGTTTTTAAAATTGTTACTTAACACCTGATAATAAAATTGTGACTTCTAAAAACTATTTTTGACACTGTGCTTTACTGAATAAAGAAGTTTATTTTAAGAAGATCACCTAAAAACTATACTAAACTTAACTTAAATTTCTTCAGATGCACGAAGATCTCCTCCGCATGCAAGTAGCAGTCAGCAAGCAGCAGATCCAGATAGACCAGATGAATGATGACGCGGAGAACTGCCGCCGTCTCGTAGAGACATCCAGGGCTGGCCTGCCGCACTCCTCGCTCCCACGATCAGGGAAGCATATTGATCTAGAAAGACTCGACAAAGAAGTGTCCCAGCTGAACAATAGGTGGAATAATGTCTGCAGTCAGTTGGCTGAGAGGTGAGTTAGATAAATCAAATTAAATTTGGAGTAAATTGAAAATAGTATTTATTATTGGTAGGTACTGACAATTACCAATTTCAAACATACACTATCCCAGAAAATTAAAGCATTTGCTATTAAAACACCTTTTTTAGTAGAATTAAGTACTGATTACACGGTCGGCATAGTAGCTGGGCAACTGGCTTCTAGGCAATGTATCGCGGGGTCGATTTTCAAAAGGAAAACCACTTTAGTTTTTTACACGGAAAACGTATTGCATTTTTAACATCAAAAGGCAACAAGTTTAAGCGATTTACAAATTTTGTATCGCGTCTGGCTGCTTTGTGTATGTGAATTTGTATGTTTGGAAACGCACCCAAGACACAGAAGAAAAAGACAGGGCAAGGCTTTTTAAAAAAGTCATCAATTTCATGTGCTTTAATAAACTAATATTGGTAAAACATTTTCCCACAGACTTCGAAGCTGTGAAGCCGCGTACCAACTCCTGCGCAACTACAACGCTGGGTTAGAAAAGGAAGCTGAATGGATTGATGATGCATACAGCAAGCTGCAGGCACAGCCACCCATTGAAGTCCGGCCTAAGGAACATTTCGAACCGACCAGGGTGAGAGAAAATAACAAGCCGGATGATTTTCCTTATCCTTTCCCATCCCCAAACCTACAATCGCCAAAACTCAAATATCGATTCCTAACCCTCAATTACCAATTCTCAAATCTACCTTCCCCTTCCTCCCTCAATCCCTAAAAAGCTGTAAATGCACTTGTAACTCCTCAACAGTAACGGTTGTCCATATGCGGCGCCGTTTATCAACCACTTTAATGATGTGTGACACGCTAAGTCAGATCATTTTGTGAAGTGATTCCAGGCTTTGAAAGACCTTGTCTTCTATAAAATTAACATCAAAATAATTTCAATTACTTGTGAAGTTTTGTAAGGTTTGGTTTATTTCAAAGGCTGTATCATTACATAAGTGGTCTTTTGGTTCTGTATCTTGTACTTTTGTGGTCTTTTGTTCCGCAGTCTACTTTGGTCTATTTTAGTCCCCGTGTTGCGTCAACTTCTAGATTGTTTTTAGCTGGTAGGATAATGTTTACTACGAAAATGACATCAGACAGTCTTTTGTAAATAGACATCAGTCCATCAATTTGGATTTTGATCTGGATCAACCCATCATAAGGTGTTTGGCCAACTTGAAGGTTTTTCACCACGACTGAATTTTAATTATTTTAACTCATATTTTAAGTTTGTATAAAACTAATTTACAAGTTCACAAATTACATGACTGCATGTAATTAAATAACTTATTTTTAGAACAAGTTGGTTTTGGAAATTGGTCCTTTAAGTCACATTCTAGTTCTAAGGACGCATGATACATTTATACGGATATTTGGAGACGGACTATAAATAAAAAAGATACTTTATTGATATGATAATATAATTTACTTACCATGTTAAATAATTTATGTGCACGACGTGACTCATATAAGTAATTTTTAAGTCAAATGGAACTAACTACCAAAGAGTTTTAACTTCACAGAAATATTTACCCATACTGCACTTAACTAATGTTTAATGTTACCGGGTGTTATGTGGTTCCACAGAATCTACTCACAAGTGTCGTCGAGAGGACGCCTAAGATAGAAAAGGTTAACGTTGATGGTGGCAGATACATTCGCGAGGCGAAGGTAAATATATCAGTACACTAATACATATAAACCCCAGATCACTACTCTGTGGCAGTCTGTGGAATGTTCTTGTGTTTTCAAGGCTTTTTCAATTATTTTCCGAGAATTGCTCGATCAGTTTCGGGCTACACCAGAGCCCTTGATCATAACTACAGCGTACGAGCGAGCTGTAAAACATAATTATGTTTAATACGTATATCACTTTATTAAACAAATAAAGTCAAGAATGTTCCACAAATGTCTTTATAAATGTTCAATTGTTTTATGATGAGAGGTATCTGTGTGAAATGAGTTCGGTCCAGCGTTTCGTTCCTGCTCTCTGCTTCTGTCTTTGTGTTTGGGTCTTTTCAAGTCTCTTCGTATATCAGAGGTGATTTAGGCTCAGAATTACCATTGCACGAAAGCTTTCGCTCTTAAGAATAACGCTTGCGTTTTTATACTAAACAGTGCTTCGCTATTTAACTTTTAAATCGATTTGAATCGATTGCTTTCTACTAATCGTAATCATCTGAATGCGAGATGTTTGTGTGATCGACTAAACTGAAAAGCAATTTATTACTGCTGAATGCATTGTTGTGTGACTAAGTATTTGTAAATGAATTCTTTAAGAATTCACATTTCGTGTGCTTGATCAATGTCATTTTTTCAACCTAAAAATACCGTTACTTCTGTGAACTAGCCACCAAAATACGTAAGCAAAATAATGGCTACCACATGATTAAATTACATCACAAATACAATCGCAAAAAAGTTTCCGTTTCGGCGGAAATCAAACGACTCAAGACCGTTCGAAATTTGAAATTTAAATTTGTTTTTTTTTTCTATTTTGTAAATAGCTTCCAAAACGTCAACAAATGAGTTCATTGTTTTTAAAACAAATGTGGCTTTTGCATGCACTGTCTTTGGTGGTTCAATGTTGCCATAATTTAAAATGTAATTACGGTTTTCTGTACAATTACCGCACTGTCTGTGGGTTTTTCTATTTTCAAATTACACAATTCTTTGCTTGGATTCGCACGACATGGGTGCTAGTCTAGTGTGGCCGCACTTATGGTGTTGCACGCTTAAAAATACCTGTTTACTGTACAGGCCAATCTTCTTCATCCAGCATGATATCATTCCCGCTGTAAGCTGGACAAGTGTTGCCAGTGATAAATAAAAATTTTGAAAGGTTGCATGTATGATAGATTAGGCCAGTTATAAAATTAGATGCCTATTTGGAAATAAACTATGTTTTTCTGTAAAACAAAAACATTGTTTAAGTCCGTAACTTCTATTTTTAAAAACTGGTCCTTTGTGTCGGTGATTTATGAATGTGAAGACTGTTTCGTTTCACCTAATCTCAGTTCAGAATTCAAGTGTGTAAGTCATTATGAAAGGTTTAAAAATTCTAATGTACGCTTCATTTTATAATAAAACAAAACAGATTGTTCTTTGTTACGAAACGAATTTATTAATAAAATCGAATAACAAGTTAGACTTAATTTTTTTTAACTGTACATGGATACAAGAACAGTCTGGTTTGCGACTAACAGCCCCTAATAACGCGCTTGACCCCTAACCACGTAGATATACTCGTCGAGATGTCAGCGATATGCCGAATGGCTTTGCGACGAGGTGCATCCATCGTTGGACATGAGGCAGCTTCGACGACAAGCAGACATCGAGCTCGCCGAGCGTCACCGGGCCCGAGGCCGGACGGACCCGGAACGCATACCGTCAGGGTCGGAAGCAGTAGCACGAGAACTGGATGACTTGAATGCCAACTACCAGAGGTTGATGGATATGCTGTATGAGAGACTAAGAAGGATCGCAGCCGCTAATCCAGGAGACATCGTTACTTTGGTAAGTGTCCTTTTTTCCTACAATAAGATGTTTCTTGATTTTTTTTTTATATTAGATGAAAATGATATAGTTTAAGGGCTGGATCAATCAATATTAAGTAGCAATTAATACGAAATTAGAACTTATAACATATGTATGTAAAATAATTATTAATATGAACCCCTTATTACAAAATAGTAGCAATCAAAATACGGATGAAAAATAAACCAATTGAACGTTCCAAAGAGGTTTATTAGCAGAATTAATACAACCTCCGTCAATGACTCGTCTAATGAGAAACGTGTGTAATGCATTTTAAATTATAATTTGTCACGTGGCGTGTCCGACTAAAGAAATAATTTATAAAAAGTAATTTGTCTATTAACGTCATTTGTACTTTGTAATTTACGTATCTTTTTAGCCTTATATGATGAAAAAGGCAATAAAACTTCAGTGTTATAAGAAAAACAAAAGTCCCACAAGGGCTTACGCTTTAGTGGCAAATTAATACGGCAATCTTCGTAAAAAATTCACAGATCCATTACATCAATCTGCTAATAAATATATTGGATTTAAGACTAAACTAAAAAGTAAACAAACCAGTAGACAGGACCTAATTTTAATAAATTCTCAAGAAACCAGTTTTTGAAATAAAATTAAATGTCCTTCTAATGATCTTCGCGATATCGCATTTAGAACCGACCTCGTAAATAGGTAAAAAAACTAAATTGCTTCACCGTAGATTTATGGCTATCGTTCTGCGGTTTTATTTAAATTACTCGTCTGGTAAAGCTTAAGAATAAGAAGCTTGGCTTCTTTGGCTTTTCAAAAACAAGAAAATTTTTTTTCATTGTAAGTAATATTTTTATGTATGTATAGTCATTCCTTTACTTTATACTTGTCATCAAATAAACAAATCAATTCTTTTAACCTTTATAGGTATTTTTACTTTAAAGACTAATACTAATATGGCCCTTACTATATAATACAATCCTCAAAAAGCGCCTCTAAGGACCAAAAACCGGGCATCACTCAAGTCTACCAGAAAATTCTGTAATACCAAAAATAGCACAGTATTAGATGACTTAGGTATTTATTTATTCTATCAGGCGCCGGTGCTTTCTAGCATCAATATATTTAAATTGATGTGATGATGATATTTAAAAGGCACGGTGTACCCGTGTCACGTAGTTGGAAAACCATGTGTTGACAACATACAAAGTTTACCTAATTCACTTGTGTATAGTGATGTCACCATTAGGTCATTCGGAACCAATTCAAGGTCGTTCACTATTTAAAATTTGACGTTAAGGATTTCAAATTGAAATAACGAATTTAAGTTGTTTAAGGAATTTAACTTGTTTGATTTGTGGTTTGAAATCCGTTTAAAAGGTATTTGTTTATGAAATCGTAACATTTTTTGTTTTATGAATAAATATTCAATATATAAAAAAAAATAGTTTAGAAAAATTCAGTGTAGAAAACTATTCGATTAATCACAGTAGTCTGCGAATCTGCAACCGCAAGCCCGGATGCTAACGCCTAAACACGTGGTTACAATTCGTATTCCCCTTTTTGATTGTGAAATTCTTTGTGTAGCAGGATGGTTACAGAGTAGGTCTCATAGCTAGTCACAATTACATTCACATTTAATCCAAAGAAGATCAAGTTTTTGTTCGGAAATGCACAAGAATCACATCATGTGTACCTAGTCGTAAAAGAATTTGGCAAATTTGCATCAATTCTTGTTTGACAAGGATGTTTATTTTGTAGATTAGTTTAATCTTAGTAGATTTATTTATTTAAAATTATGTGTATTCCATATACCTAGAACTAGCTCCTAGATGATTGAAGGCTAGACTCAATGAGTAATCTTTTCCAGAATCTGACCTTAAAATATCACCTTCATAAAATTAACGTTTCAAATTATTTTACTTACTTCCTGTAACACAGCCCACATTTCCTAATATTGCCAAAACAATTGCTTATTACGGGCTTCTTCAAGTTACATTTATTTAATAATTGGTTGAGTATCATTTATTATCTGCCTACGTTTTCTTCTTTTATGTACATAGCGTGGGCAAAAGGACCAGCTTCATATGGGCTTGACTTGATTGGTCCTAGACTTTTATTGAGATGATTTCATTGTAGGTAGGTTTGCTAGCGGATCAAAATAGAATGATATAACCGAGTTTGGTTTAAGACCAATTCCTAGAATACTATATTCATATTAGATCTTAGATTTCCATAGCAAGAAACTAGAATATCACGTAATGGTCCTTCCACCCGCGCATCTTAATCTGAACAAAAATAAACGTTTCAAACAGCCTGCGAGTTTACGGAACCGTAACACGAATTCTGACTCAAAGTTTTGGTACAAATACGTAAAAAAGAACTGCTATTTGTAATAAAACTAGCGTTGGATGGTTCGTTGAACCGATTGTATAGGCTGACAAAAACTGACGCATATGTCCGTCCGTCCGTCCGTCACAAAGTATCCTATGAGGTCGGGGACCAGCCTTGCTCAGATCTGAAAGAGTTAATTACTAGTCTATTGAGTACATCAGGATGTATATTACTGAATTACAGAACATGATAATTATATTTTACTGTAGCAAAATGATTGTTCATTTAAAAGAATAATTTTGTTGGTGCCAATTTAGTTTCTAAATGTAGGTAGGTATTTAGCTTAGTTTTCCTTATTATATTACCTACTTATGTTCTAAAGCTCCATCCGTGTGTTAGTAAATTGTTATTTGTGATTGTGACTGTGATTTAAATTATTTTACAAAGAGGTTTTTCTCATAGTATAGTATAGAAAAGAAAATTTATTCACTAAGATGGGATACGGGCACAAAAATTTGTTGTTATGGAAGAAAAAATTTAATACGGTACACTAGATAATTTTATACTCTTGGTTTTTACTGCTTGTCTCATCTGATTCGCGTGACGCAATCCTATTGAAAAACAGTTCTTTTGAGTAATTGTTTAAGTTGTTTACATACTTTATTCGTTAGATTATGACTAGACAGACGAAGTCAACGTTTTTCATGGCCGTCAGTCTTTCATTCATTTTCATAAAACGAAACATTGTAAAGAATTTAATATTAAATAAATTGTATTGCAAAGGAACAATATTTTTGTCTGCTACTTCATATCTTTATAATTCAGTTTGACGTTCAAAAGTGCCTGTCTAATTGGAATAAATAATTGTAACCTTGACTTTGTCATAAAATTCAAACAAAAAGATATTTCGAAAATAAAAATTCACATATTGACTGCTTGTATATTTTTGTCACACATCTGCATAAAACTATTCCTTTTTCTAGTAGACAGTTAAGACGGTTAGTAGTTGAGTATACTAAGTTAAGATCTTCTTAGTATGCAAAATATGCATTAAGTGATTAACCACTAATTAGTCGCAATCTCCAGGCGCTAGTAATCACACTTACCTTGTCATTGCAATAGACTCTTGCGCACACTTCGTACCGATAACTGCTATTTATAGATATTACGGTATTATATTAAGCTGCTTGCAGTAATAATCAGCTTTTTATGTTATTCTGTACTCACTGGTTATTCTAATTTCAGTGTCAAGGTCAATTGAAGAATTTATTAATAAGTAACTGGGAATTAATTCTACAAATTTGTAACTCGTGTTAAACAACGTTGGTAGTGTGGCCAGCAGGGTATACAAGACCTTTCTAACAAATTTCTTTTACATAATAGATTTTAAACTTTATTGTTTTTCGTATGAAGTCGAACTTCCATTAAGCAGGTTCGCATACAAGGGTCGCAAGCTAAAACTGCTAAAAATGCTGAACATTCTGTAAGAATGTTCAGGGAAAGATTCACGAGAAAATTATAGTTTCAATCTGTATAATTCAGAATCAAATTCATCTTTCGATTTAAAATGTTCAAAGAACCGAGTACGAAAAGAAAATAAGTTTAACCTGCATGGTTCGAATACTTTATCGTAATTATTCATGAAATGTAAATTGAAACACTTGGACATGACGTCAACAGTCAACAGTCACTAGTTTCATTGCTCATAGATGTATGCAAAAAGCGGAGTTCCGATTATTCGCTCACGTAATCGTTAGGATGCTAAACCAATTGATGATTTGTCAAAACTTTTTATTTATTTATTTGAGATGATCGAACTGATAGATATCCGTCTTAAATGCGGATATTAAAAAGCAAGTTTGATTCGGATTCGTGAACGAAAGGTGCTGTATGAAAATTAGTTTGTTGTGTTGAGTCATGAAGCTGGGTTTTTGGGAAACGCAGTTAAATCTAAGCAAGCTTTAGGTTGCTTAGTAGGCACTGCTACCCGGTCAGTATTACCTAAAATATCTCTTTATGAGAAAAGTTGTTGTTTGAGGGCAAATAGATTCTACTCTTATATCAACACACGGCTATGTTACAAAAATATTCCACTATGCCTTTTAGCTGAAGGGATAGGCAAAAATGAAAGGGATAGGCAGAAATGTACCTACATGGATGAATATTAACAACACGTTTTCTTTGCCTCAACATAAAAAAAACTCATCATTTGATCGAGAGTCCTGAATCTCAATGATGAAGGTCATTGGGGTTTTCTGTAAGGTTATGACAATGTTAACGTCACAAGTTTCCTACAGTCAAAATTTCTTATTATCCAATAAACTTATGTTTTTTTGTCTAAATAATATAATCTGAATAATGTTCCAGAATCAGTGATAAATTGTTAATGCTTTCTCTGCTTGTAACGAGCCTACCCACGCGAATACAGGGTAAGGCTCTTAGCGGTACCAATGTGATGTGTACTGAACCCGTTATGAGCCAATTATTGCCTGCAACACCTCCCACGTGGATAGGTGAAGCTTAGTCATAATTTGTAATAGAAGCAAACCTATTTCGTTTGCACTTAATAATTCTGGTCCTTTCTTTGGTCCTTCGATCCCAAATGAATTTTGATTATGGTCCTTCAGTCCATTTTTGTGTATGTTAGTTTAATTTCCTTTAGCTGATTTGACATT